CAACACATCACACCTGATGGTGTAGTTTTTTTATTTTATTGTTTTATGTCTAGAGTTCCCCATGAGAGGAAGAAGGAGAACAAGAAGCATGAAGAGCCGCCTGAAGGCCTGGCCCAGCCTCATGGCCAGCTGCTGGAGAAGGGCGAGGGTGTCCACATCCCTGAGGACAGAACAGAGGACACAGGAGGTGACCAGTCTGCTGAGGAAGGCCCTCCCAGCAAAACAGAAGCACGAAAAGATGCCAAAGGTAGGGCCAGCCCAGGGCTAGGGACCCAGTCCTGGTGCACCTGCTAGCATCCTCTGGTTTTATGAAATGGGGTCCTGGAGTAGGAGCCTCCTGGGCCGGAGGCAGAGCAGATGTGAGAGGAAACAAAGTTGTAAACTGCAGCTCTGCAGAGCTACTGCTGTTTATGGCAACTCCTGGCTCCAAAGCTCTCATTTCCAGATTTAAGTATTATCTGGTTTTGGGCCAAAGAGAACCGCTCCCAATGAAGCCAAAGGCTGTGCATGTCAATGAGCTGAATAGCCACATACTAGGGCCTTATCTTTTCCATGAATCTGACTCTTGGAAGGAACAGCGAGCGCTCCGTCTCCAAGGGGATGGCTTGCTTCTGGCCAAGGGCCCACAAAGCCTTACCCCATTCATTGCCTTTATTTGTGTAGAGATGGGCCCTTCCACGTTGGACTCAGTCTCGAAGCTCAGCAAAGCACATACCTGAGCCCCCGGCACATCCCTTGAAGGCAGGGACCAGCCACCAGCCAATGAGGTATCTCAAGTAGGAGGAACAAATCGCACCCTTGCCGGCGGCTCCCAAAGCTCTCATTTACCAACCTTGAGCTAGACGTAGGGAGTAGCCTGTATTGTTTGTGCCCAGAGAGCTGGGGAAGGTGCAGAGGCAGCGCATCCTTGCATTTCCATCTGTGCCTCAAAGAAATCAAACCTTTGGCAAATACATCTACGTTTCTGCGAAGTGTGCCTTGCTGATCGAGGAGGGAAAAGCCAGAAAGTGTTTCTTAGGTGGAAAGGTATCTTTAAGCCTCATTTGTTAACCGGCAGATGCAGCTCTTTCTGGTCATTAGCATAGACCTATCACTCCAAGTGTTACACGCAGTGACAAATTGCAGTTGCCAAAGGGGATACATCAATTCTCCTAATTACCTTTAGAGTCCCATTCACAGAATCAGAAAGGGTGTCTAGTTACATAGACGCCACTCATTTTTTTGAAAATCAGTTTCAATTCCCTCATAGTCGTCTTGGTTTTAGTCACATTCAGACCAATGAAAGCTGTGACGACGTAAACCAGGTAAGACCGAGGTTGGAAAATGGGTCTTTTGCAAAGCCTGGTCTTACTCCCCAGGACGGAAACCAGTGATTAAGGAGAATTGCAGGGTAAGAAAAGACGCAGCAAAAGTAGGAGAGAGAGGGGAGGGGCGGGGGGGAGGAGAAACCCTTTATCTTAGTGAAGCCAGTGCAAAGTCTTCGTTGCACATGGAGTTCAGAATGAGCGTCAACTTGGGAGAAACTGCCTCCCAGCTCAGACACTTTCTGAGGCTCTGCCCATGACTAACAGCTTTCGCAGACACCCCCACACAGTTATATGGACACCCCCCTCACTCTCCCAGACTTCCCAATGCATAGTCCTCTCCACTTCTGTTTAGAGGTCAAAGCCCCCTGGCTAAGTTACCTTAGTTTCCTGAAGCAACCATTTACACAAAGGCAGCTAAGTGACAAGAACGGCAGAAAGTGCGAGGACACAGAAATGGAGTCGTCTGGTCATTCAGTGACTGTTGAGCATCCACTCTGTGTCAGGCACTGTTCCAGGTGCTGAAAATACCTCAGTGGATGACATTGATGAAGAAGGTCAAAGAGACTCACGCAGGGAACGCATTCAGGGGCCCATTCCATTCCCCAACTGGTCTCCAGCCTCAGCCATGCTGGGGGAGGGTGAACTGGAGCACCGCCCCCCCCCCACTTACGGTCCAGTCTGGGCCACATAAATACCTCGGGGTGTCCGTGCTGCTCCCCGAGGGCAGGGCTGTGGGAGCCTGCAGCTCCGAATCCACAGTCTGCACCCAAGTGAGCTCATCTGGTTCTTATTTTCCTCCCACTTGAAAATGATTAGCATTTTCTTCCAGTTGGGGGGTTCTTACCCACTTCTGACCCCAAAAGGCTCAGGAAATTACAAAGCAAGTTTTCCAACAGATGCTTTGACCAGCGTCAGACGGTCCTACACAGCTGCCAAGTCGCTCTCGCTACATCTTGTAGGCCTGGCACGTTACGACGTCAAAGGCGGCCTGAGTGGGTGGGCCGCTTGCTTGTGGAATGCCCAGCTGCCCTAGGCGGTTGGCCCTCAGTGCCCAAGGAGACCCCTGAGCCCACAGAGCTTGTGCTGGGCAAGAGATCCTGGCAGGAAAGATCCATGCACATAAGATGTAAAGATTGGCAGTGGAGTGGTGTGTGTGTGTGTGTGTGTGTGTGTGTGTGTGTGTGTGTGTCAGAGAGAGAGAGAGAGAGAGAGAGAGAGAGAGAGAGAGAGAGGGAGAGATTTTCAGAAATATTCAAAAAGAAATGGGCTACCACAGCAATTTTTGGAATCTCTGTGCAGGGAATAGCGGGGTGACTGTATTTGAAGAACCTGCTGCCACTCCCCAACCAGAAAGCCACGTGTTGCACAAAATGTGAACCACAGCCCTTGCCTATCACTCGCTTCTGCTCCAGGGTATCTGGGGAGACTTGGGAGATTGCAGATCAAAGGGAGGGTTTGCTCCAATTTGTCGGAGGCAGGAAAACACATCACTGAGACCAATATTGAGTAACTGAGCATCCTGCCTACCCATGCTCACCGCGACTGGATGGGTGAGCCCTGCATGACTTCGTGTTTGTTTCTTCTGAAAAGAACAAATGACTGAAAAAGGAAGGAGAGTCGATAGAGCAAAGGCTCAAGAAGAATGCTGTGTGACTCTGTGCATCTCATCCCAGATCTTAGTGCCTTGTTTTTTTTTGTTTTGTTTTCCTTTTGCAAGATGGAGCTCATCTGACTCAGAGCATCGAAGAATCACACATTAGGAGAGATCTTAAAGGCTGTAGTCTGGCCACTGCAGTCTGACACATAGTAGGTGCTAAATAATGCTTGAGTTCACCAATGGTGAAGTCATTGAGAGAAGGAAGCAGCCTGGGAATGTATGCTGGCAGCCCTGTGCAACATTCCTGCAGACGGTAGTTCAATCACGTGTAAATATCACCCGCGATGGACCGCCTATTGGTGGTCCAAACCTGCCCCCCACCCCCTACTGTGGATCCCTGGCCAAGTCCTTCAGCTTCTCTGTACCAGGACTCCCTCTCGGGTGTGTAAGTGAGCTATCGCCATGTGTCCAGTGATCACAAACTTAGCAGCTTAACACAACACCTGCTTTTATCTCACTTTCTGTAGGTTAGGGGTCTGGGCACAACTTAGCAGGGTCCTCTGCTCAGGGTCTTATCCGAGGCTCAGGGTCATTGACAGGATCCATTTACTTGCAGCAGTAGAACTGACAGTGGCTTTCTCTGCCTGGGTGGCCCAGTGGGTTGGAGCATCATCCCGTACACTGAAAGGTTGTGGGTTTGATTCCCGGTCAGGGCACATACCTAGGTTGTGGGTCCAATCCCCAATAAGATACATGGGGGTGGGGGGGGGAGAGAAGGACAACCAATTGATGTTTCTCACATTGATGTTTCTGTCTCTCTTTCTCTCTCCCTTCTTCTCTCTAAAATTAACAAAAACATATTCTCAGATGAGGATTAAAAAAAAAAAGCAAGGCCAGCAAGACTTGAGTATAACTTCCCAACCCTCTTTGAAAGGGCTCACCTAATGAGGTCAGGCCCACCTAAGATAAGTTCCCTTTTTATTAATCTAAAGTCAACTGATTAGAGACCTTAATTACACCTGCAGAATTCCTTCATCTTTGCCATAAATGTAACATAATCAGGAGTCATATCCATATTCATAGGTCCTACCCACACTCAAGCAGAGAAGATAATACAGAAAACGCATAACTGGGGAAGAATCTTGGGGCCACCTTAGAATGCTGCCTACCACACCCTGTCCTGGAGATACTGAGGGGACCCGTCTCATACGGTTGCTCTGAAGACTAATGAGATAGTGACTGTAACAGTACGTGACCAGCCGGCAGCAGCTGCTATAATTATTTTAGCATTTTTGAGCATCTGCTCCATGGCAGGCCCCATCGTAGGAGCTGGGATTCGGAATATAATAACGCCAACATTGCTCTGAAGGAAATCGTGGCATTTCCCTGACACTCATGTTCCCTCGCCCCCACCCCATGCGAAAGTTGGCAAACAGCCACAAAGCTTTACTCCAACTAAATGACTGTTGGATGCAAAGGCTCAGAGTTTTCTCGGCCTGTGAAAGCCACGGTCAAAAGAAAAAGTGCTGACTTCAATCAGATACTGTCATCCACGGGATTATCATTTCCACCCTCAAGGGCCGCCGGCTTTGGCCGCGGATTGCGCAGATGGACTGGAACTCTCGCCAGGTGGTTCTTGGCCGCGGCTGCACACATTCAGGCACCCGCAGGGTTTGGGCAGCTCCGTCTGCCACAGCTCGCATGCCTTTGGCCTGGGGCGTGTCCTGCATTGGAATTGTTTTTAAGCCCCTCGCCCCAGGGGTCGCCAACAGTCCACCGGGGATGAGAGCTGCTGCTGGGGCTGAAGCGTGAATGGTCTGGAAGCTAAATTCCCCTTAAAGCAGTGGTTCTCAACCTTCCCAATGCCGCGACCCTTTAATACAGTTCCTCAGGTTGTGGTGACCCCCAACCATAAAATTATTTTCGTTGCTACTTCATCACTGTAATTTTGCTACTGTGATGAATCTTCATGTAAATATCTGATATGCAGGATGTATTTTCATTGTTACAAATTGAACATAATGAAAGCATAGTGATTAATCACAAAAACAATATGTAATTATAGATGTGTTTTCCGATGGTCTTAGGCGACCCCTGTGAAAGGGTCGTTCGACCCCCAAATGGGTCTCGACCCACAGGTTGAGAACCGCTGCCTTAAAGAGAAACTGCTGAGAACATGACATGCCAAAGAGACATGAGCGGCAATAAAGCATTTTTTCATTGGCTCCCAGCAAAGATATTGAAATTTACCACACATCACACCTTTTCAAGCCACTCTGCTATTAAATATACATATATTTTATTGATTTCAGAGAGGGAGAGGGAGAGAGAGAGAAACATCAAAGATGAGAGAGAATCATTGATTGGCTGCCTCTTGCACGCCCCACACTGGGGATCGAGCCTGCAACTCGGGCATGTGCCCTTGACCAGAATCGAACCCAGGACCCTTCACTCCACAGGCCGACGCTCTATCCGCTGAGCCAAACCGCTAGGGCCCCTCTGGCAGACAGCTCACCTACCAGCTGGGATAGCGTTGAGAAAAGATTAAAATGCCCACCTTGCCCAGAAAGCTGCTGGTGCCGGCTTGCTTTCCGCTTGCTCATGCAATGCTTACTCCGTCACCTACATGTATGAAGCACCCACTGTGTGCCAAGCTTCATGCCGGGTGCGGTGCTTCAAAGATCTGTAGGACCCAAACTCTGCCTCCCAGACCTCGGCATCCAACGCCGAAGACGAGCCCTAAGGACGGGGAGCATGGAGCTCGTTGTTAGGTTACGAATGCTCATTTTCAAAACTTCCTCAGTCTTCTCTGACCCTGTGTATTTCCCTTCAGGGTTTAATCGCGTCCAGAGCGCAGCCTCTTTCCAACATCCCTTCCTGCTTCCCCCGCCAGCATCCCTCCCAAAGAAAAACTACTACCAAAGATAAGAACTGAAAAATGGCCCAAATGCTCTCATTATTTCACAAGGAAAAAGAGCAAAGGAAGCGGCAGCCTCATCCTCCCCCACCCCTGTAACCTCCAGATCCTTCTCGGGTACCAAGGGGCACACCTCCTGAGCTGGGTGGACGCGGGCCCCTCCTCCTGCCGGCTGGTCCTGGAGGAGCGGTTGCCAGCGCAGCATCAAGCAGACGCGATGGACCGGAGGCTCTGGCAGAGCCCACGGAAGCTGCGTTCCTCGGGGAAGGGAGCACTGAGCCAGGGCAGCTGTGCGAGACAGAGAGCCACGTGCGGTCCGCTGTGGTGACATGAAGACTGGATTCGTTCACCTCCGGGCTGAAGGGGAACTCTGCCCCCAGAACATCACAGGCTCCTCCAAAGCCCCGAGACACAACCCGGGACAGTTCAGCTGGGAGGAAACCAAAGCTCCTGTTCAGACAAAATCTTCCCCAGCACCCCCCGCCCCCTCTCCTCTGTGTCACACACACTGACCGAGAGTCTGCCATGTTCAGGACATCGTGCGAGGCTGTGCTAGCCGCTGCCACCCCTCCCACCAAGGGAGGCTTTACAATGTCAGCGTTTCACGACGACCTCAAAGAGTAAGTGTTTGGGCTGACCCCACAGAGTCATTTTTTAACATATATTTTTATGGATTTCAGAGAGGGAAGGGGAGGGAGAGAGAGATAGGAATGTTAATGATGAGAGAGAATCATTGATCGGCTGCCTCCTTCATGCCTCTCACTGGGGATGGAGCCCACCACCCTGGCATGTGCCCCAACTGGGAATCGAACCTGACCTCCTTGTTTGTAGGTTGTCGCTTAGCCGCTGAGCCACGCCAGCTGGGGACACAGTCATTCTGAGTTGTTTTTTTATACCCCCTCTGACATCCTGGGGAGACGGCTCAGCCGGGCTCACGCACTCTTTTTAAATTCCGTGAGAAGAGCAGTGCTTCACTTCGGGCCTTGGGAGCTTCCCGAGACAGCGCCCGCCCGGGTTCCCACCCTGGCTCTCACATCAGCTCCTGAAAGGTGGGGGAAGGAAATAAGCACCACCCAAGGTCGCGGCTGGGAGAGGAAGACGTCAAAGGAAACAGAGATGCAGGCTTGCCGTTGCCTAGCTCTTCACTGCATACATGTGGGAGACAACTGTCTGGCAGCGACAGGAAGTTAGACGGCACTGAGCTGAGGCGGAACTGCATCGCACCCCTGGACGCTGGCCAGCGCGGAAATGAATGACTAAGGGACAGCAGAGACTCCACTTTTGGGTTCCTTTCTTCCTTTATTTCCTTCAGTCCTCCCTCCCCCTCTTCCTCTCTCTCCCACGGGCCAAATGCTTCCTGCGACCTGTTCTTGGATGGCTTGCAAAGTAGGAACGGACTTACCATTTTTAAATGATTGAAAAGGAAACCAAAACTATATGACACTTTTTCGTGCCCATAAATAAAGCTTTATTGAAACATAGCCGCACCTACTCATTTACATGCTCTCGATGGCTACTTTTGTGCCGCCACAGCCACAGCCGTGTTGCACAGCTGCCATGTTGTATAGTTGCAGCAGAGTCCGCATGGCCCACAAAGCCTAAAATATTTACTATCTGGCCTTCGACAGAGAGTTTGCTGACCTCTGCACAAAAGTGAAAGAATAATTCTGCACAAACGCAGAAAGATGAGAGGGTCGCATGCTTCATTCTTCAGTTAACCTAGTTAAATGGCCATGTGACACCCTTAGTTATCTTCTCTTCAGTTAACCCCTCAGAGTCAGAATCAACCCCACTCATGTGGCCTTGGCAAGACCACTTGCCCATCCTTCCCCTGCGGAGAGAGAGGCCCCGCCTGCCCACCACGTCCTCAGCTTCCAGAGAGAGCAGATCAGAACGTCCTGTGGCCTCCATCTGTGTCCCAGTAAGAGCTTTCCTGGCCCTGGGTTGAGGGGCTGCTCCCTCCTGCACAAGCCTCTTGCTTGTTACGCTTTGGGGTCAACCCCAGAGACGTCAACCCCAGTCCAGGCGGGGAAGATTCGAGCACTGGGCGTGGGAGTCTGCAATGTGGCGTTTCTCTCCTCGTCTCCAGGAACAGACCTGAAGCTGCCGACCCCCCTGGGACCTGTGTATCCACGGTTCATCTCGAGTCCGAGCTCCAAAGCTGTGGGACGAAGCTGGCAACTGTCTCCTCCCGCAGCAAAGAACTTCCAAATACACGATGTAAGTCTCCCAGCCCCTCTCCTCCCTCGGCCCTGCAGGCTGAGAGGTGCCCCACACAGGGGTGAGCTGAGCAAACGAGGTGCCAATGGTTTCTCTTGACCGTTGACCCCATCCCACCCCCATCACCTCCTGCCTCCACGTGAGGCCGGTACAGAGAGAGAGATGAAGCCCCGAGCACAGGTCATAGTGCGTTGTGAATCTCATCAGGGTTCCCTGAAAGAAGAAAAGTCCTCAAAATCGGACAGTTTTCTGAGGCCCCGAATGGTCTCTTCCCCCCCAGGTACCCCTGTTCTCCCCCAGTTGCTGCTACATTTCCACTGAGTGAGAGGCGAGTCTTTACCCCCTGCCTCACCCTCCGGTTCACAGGCTCATTTTGTTTTGTGTGAAAGAGGCGTTTTTGGAAAGCTCGGTGGTAATCTAATCCTCTCTCCCCACTGTCGTACCATCCAGAAATGGCCATCAATTGCTCCTCACGTGACAAACCTCTGCTGAGCACTTAGCACGTGACATGTCATCCATCCAAGGTGGTAAAACGCAGGCTCCGTTTTTGAGGACCCCAGGGTGTAGTTGGGACATAACGGGGTAGAGAGACCTCGCAGTAAGTCAGGTGGGGGACACAGACTCCCGGGGGAGATGGTGTGGAAGCCCAGAGGAGGAGCTAGCTCTGACGGGGGTCAGACACTTCCTTGGGAAGCCAACACCAGAATTCTGAAAGGGGAGTCGGGGAGGCAGGAGAGGACCAGAGGGGGGCTGATCTGGCAGGAAAGGAGGTGCATGCAGGTTTTGGCTCCTCTGGAAAATGTCCTGGTGGTCATGATGGTGATGACAGCCTTCCTAAACAGAGGCACCATGACAGGTCGGGGAAGGAGCAGACAGAAGGGTCCAGGGGTGGAGGACTCTCTCATCTTTCACGGGATACAGCTCTGCTCTCAGTCGGCTCCAGCCGATCCAGAGTGATGGGGCTGGTCTGGCCCGTTAAGGTCCACTGGCACCTGTCTGTCCGTCCTCAAGGTGGACTCTGGGGCCGCCTTCCTTGGAACAGTCACCCCCTGAAGCCACGCATGTGAATTTAAACTGGAGGCAAGAGAAGGTGACAGAGGCCGCGGGAAGTCCTCTCACCTGCTGGGTCTCACTGTTTCCGTTTGGGATGTGGGATGTTGACCTGTAATGTCCCTAGGGGCCTCCGACGTTGGTCAGCTCCTCTGTCCCCGCTGCCTCCAGAGCTGCCATCGCAGTGCCTGCCTGGGCAGTGCTGGAAGAAATAAACCAACACATTCGTTTCCTGCTGTGTGGGAGGCAGGAAATGGTCCAACCCCCTAATTGGGATGAGGTTCCTGCGGTGTGTCCAGCCGCCCACTCCTCAGCACACCCCTACTCCCCAGGTGTCTCAGCGAGAAAGGCGGGTGCACCCGGCCATCAGAAGCCAGGCTGCATCTACCACCACCACCTTGCCAAACATTACCCTGCCTCTGTGGGGCGTAAAAGAATCAATGCTTAGCCCTGGAAGGTCTGTTCAGTGGTTAGAGCATTGGCCCGAGGACCGAAGGTTTGAGGGTCCGATTCCTAGTTAAGGGCATGTATCTTGTTTGTTAGTTTGTCCCCGGGGTCGGTCAGGGCACGTGCAGGAGGCAACCAGTCCATGTGTCTCACACATCGATGTTTCTCTATCTCTCACCCTCCTCCCTCCCACTCGCTTTCTAAAGATCAATGGAAAAAATATCCTTGGGTGAGGATTGAAAAAAAAAAAAAAGAATCAATACATAGAGAGAGGCAGTATTTGCTGCGCCTCGTCTGCACCCAAGGGGGAGCCGAGCATGTCTGGGGTGGGCCCTGTGGCCAAGAATCAGGCTGGACCTCACTCACTCTCTGGCCACACACGCAGAGCAAGAAGGCCCCAGCTCTTCTGGAGAAACTGATGGACAGTTTGCAGGACTCGGTTGTTAGTCCAGAGAGACGAGGCCAGAGGAGAGAGGGCAGGTGAGGGCGAGGTGGCCGGGGACCGGGGAAACCAGTTGAGAACAAGCATCAGAGCAGCCGTGGGCACCCAGCAGGTGGTGCCTTCGGTAGAGAGCAGGGACGGAGCTGGCAAGGAAGCTCTCTGGCTTGGGCGGTCCACTGGGCACCCTGTGTCAGTGTCTCTCCAAGTGGAATGCAAACGGGGCTCCTTTGCTCCTCAGTTTCTAATAGAAGTGAGATTAGAATCCCAAGAGGGGACCCTGCAGCACACAATCACACGTCGGAGCCTGCCTCCGGCCTTCGGCAAGGATGGCCATTGGTTGATGTTATTCTTGGCAGCCAGGGTCCCATGAACCATGCCATTCCGAGGCTGGAAACGACCTCAGCCACTGAACCACCATAGAGGTGGGTGGTGAGTCGAGGTCCTACAGTGAGTGGCGCAGTCAGAATAGAACTCGGTGCCCTGCCCCCCAATCTGCTGTGCAGACCCAGCAACTCATGGAGTGGACGGCCCTTTTCTCTACCTCCCAAGGCTGTAGACCAGGGGTGGGCAAACTGTTTGACTCGAGGGCCACAATGGGTTCTTAAACTGGACCGGAGGGCCGGAACAAAAGCATGGATGGAGTGTTTGTGTGAACTAATATAAATTCAAAGTAAACATCATTACATAAAAGGGTACGGTCTTTTTTTTTTTTTTAGTTTTATTCATTTCAAACGGGCCGGATCTGGCCCACAGGCCGTAGTTTGCCCACGGCTGCTGTAGACCATTAAGAAAGGCAAATGGCGGTCCGCCTAGTGCAGGAGAGGCGTGAGGACGTGCCTGTTTTAAGCAGTACACCCTGACTTGTGGGAGCTGGTGGGACGGGCTCTCTGGGCTCCTCACCGCAGGTGCCCGTGGCCCGTCCCCCCCCCAGCAGGGCCCTTTCCGGGACCTCCTGGACATGAAGACGGAGAAGAGACTGGCCGGCTGGAAGGAGCGTCGCAGTCGCTACGGGGACATCAACATGCACAAATGCTATCAGCTCGGGCAGGTCTTCACCCCTTTCCGGGCCCTCGCCACCATGGTAAGCTCGCTTTTCTTCTGGGAAGGGTTGCGAAGTCCTTTGGTGAGACCGGTGACAAATGTCAACCCTTTCCCCTTTTGTGGGATGGATGAGTCCGTTCCGGCCACGCAAATGCTGCACAACCAACCTCCCCCAAACTCAGTGGCTTGCCCTCCCAAGCATCTGTGCTTCTCACTCGCTCTTCTGCAGAGAAATAGCCTCATTCCGCTACTGTTTACTGTGAGCTCCCCGGGCAGGAGGGAGCAGGGAATCGAGAACAATAACCTCATTGGCCACAAGAGGCTGACTCTAGCCACCTGAAGGTCGGTGGCCTGAGGTGGAGGGGGGTCTGAAGGCAGCTGTGATGCTCAGAAATACCCATTTCAAGGGGAGGAAAAAGTCTGGGGAAAGGAGAAGATTCTGTGATGATGAAAGATGGTTCCGTTCCCATCCCTTTATCTCATCTGTTACCTTCTGGGCCCAAGTCAATTCAAGTGGGACCATTCCCAAAGGCATTTCCTTGGAAGTATTATTCTAGCTGTGCATATGTTCTAGCTGTACATGTACTCTAGCTGTACATATGTTCTAGCTGTACATATGTTCTAGTTATACATGTACTCTAGCTGTACATATGTTCTAGCT